GCTTGTACCAGTGATCGCATCTTCGTCTTCTGAATGTTGGGAATGCCTCCATTCCCAGGATGAGTTGCCGCACACAAAGGCGCATGTGTGAGCAGCCATTAAAGCGCGCACCTTGGCAAGCGCGTGGTCCTTGGCTATCGATTTCTCCTCATATCTGATTGGTTCAGGACGCCGACAAGCGGATCAATAAATATAAGCATCCTCTCCGTGAGAAGCACTTGCCATTTGTTATTACAGTTCTCCGCCTGGTCAACTGCCTTTTCTTTCTCGTCTGCGCCGGCGTTCGAAACAACGGTCAGGCAAGCTCACAATTCGTGTTAATTACTAGTACCAGGCATGGGACATTGGAATGACATGGTTTCTCAGTTGTATACAAAGCAGAGCCACCAAAGGCAAAATATAAAGAAGGGCAAAGGTAGTTTAAGTAGTGCACCTCATATACCACTAGTCCCATATTTTTTTCCTACGGAAACTGTGGTTATAGGGACTTTAGGGATGGGGAAATAGGATAATCAGCGAGAGAAATTGGTAGAAAAAAGTGGAAAGTGGAAAAATGAAGTTGAACTTGTTTCCCGCGGCCACCGGGAGTAAGTTATTCCGCATGTAAATTGAAGGTGTGCGCGGCGCTTCGCGCCTCGGACTATACTGAGCTAACTCCAGAACGGTAAGTTGGACCTCAGGTAAGTTGGAGTAGACGACCTCCTAACCACCATTTCTATTTTTTCAGGAATTTCAAGAAACCTGCGTTTAGATAATCGGGTTTTTTCGCAATATGTTAAACGATAATATAGATTAGTAAAATCTACAGATATAAATCAACAACCTTTCTAAGAAAAATAAAATATAAATGCATGTAGCAGTTACTGAAGCATATTTCACTCCCTATCCTAATTCCCCACCCATAAAACCCCTATAACTACCGTTGCCGTAGGACAAAATGCTGGGACTAGGCGTATATGAGGTGCACTACTTAAACTACTGTTGCAGCATTAACAAGTGCTATTTTTAGGTAAGGCAGAAGGAGTGGTAACCGAGGTCGATCGATATATGCGGTGACATTTAAACTACAAGGAACCATGGGAAGCTAGATACCGCGTGCACAGTTCCGAAGCATGCAACTTCAACAGTCTAGTACATTTATTTAGCTCTCAGTTTTAAT